GCATAGAGACTAAATGAATTACACTCACCATTTATAGACAAAGAATTATTTGTATCATCAATCTATTATGCAGAGTCTTTCAAAATATCAAAGTTAAGAATACAATTATGCTGGAAATCCCGGGCAATAAAAGCATTACACATAACATCCGATTTTTTTCACCAGTTCTTATAATAAAGTCGCATTTTCCCAATTATGTCGACACGGTCGCCCGTTGCCATACACAATATCCGATTTTTTTTTTCCATTACCAATTCTTATTCTAAAGTCGCATTTTCCCAATTTTATCAACACGGTCGCCCGTTGCCGATGTAACACTAACTCCTCCAGCCGGCACCATACCACTCCGGTTTGCGAAAGCTTCATTTATAATCTTGACACTAGATCCGGTGTCGACCAACATCGCAGCACATTTTTCATTCACATATCCTGTAATTTTGGCGGTACAAAATTTAGGATTTAACTGACAAGAAACAATATTTTCACATACATTTTTCACATTTTCAACCCTTTTTTCACTACTTTCGGAAGAATTATCCTCTTCTCTTTTACGCAACCGGCTGTCTCTAGGAGGGTATTTTAGATCCTCTAGCCCTTTACCTCCACACAAAAGGGCGGACTTTAGTTTTCCGAATTGGCGCTTCTTTGTTGCTCATTACAACGGACTGCTATGTGTCCTACTCTACGACATTTGTTGCAGATTGGTCTCCCATCCGTGGTCCTAAGATATCGGTCCGGTCGGGGGCGGAATCCGAATCCTCGGCCTCTTCCTCCTCGGCTTCCTCCACGGCTTTGTCCTCGAGACGGAGGAACAAATTGCTGTTTAGATGCGAATCTACCGATTTCAGTTGCCATCACTGACACCTTGGCGGTCAGGTCTGCGAGTGACTTTTCCAGTTCTTCCGTTCTCGTAGGAGCGTAAGACATCGATGCTACAGTTCCTCTGGCCATCGGGGCATCTGCCAGGAAGTTGTTACATTCTTCCCTCTTCGCATGCCTGAAAGCTTCCTCAAACGTCTTAGGGTTAGAAAGTAACACATACCTCTTGATTTCAGGCCGCAATCCTTGGACGAAATGCTCTTTAGTGAGGGTTTCCTTTTGCCTCCCAGGCATGTCCATGTAGGCACGAGTAGCAAGCTTCGTTATGTTCGCCGCATAATCTTCTACGGTTTGCATCTCTGCCTGTTTATATCGGAACAAGTTCGAATAATACAGTGATTGGAGTTCTTTGGGAATAAATCTTTCCCGCAGAGCGTCACAGACAGAATGATAGTCATCTTTCACATCGTCGTCTAAAGATTCATAATAATCTGCAGCTTGATCTCGGAGGAATGCAGGTATCGTTATGCATTTTCTTGGTTCGGTCCAGAAATTAGCTCTGGATATTCTATCAAAGTTCTTAATCCATGAATCAAAGTCTTCGTCGAGTTTCCCGTAGAATGGGGTAGGCTTAATCAGGTTGGACGGCTGTCTAACTTCAGGAACAGCTTCGGGAATAATATCCTCAATTGGCTCCTGTCTCTTCTTCCGTGGCATCTTTACAGTATTTGACCAAAAGTTAATTTTCCAAAGTATATGTCGAAATAGTTAAGATAATCTCATCCCACCGCTGCCACCATAATATGTGACGGGGGTCCTCCCCGTCATTGGCACCGGTTAACAATGACTATAGTTTTTATTTACATTGTTTATTTACATAATTACAACACAATAAAATACACAAAGTTCACAATAAGAAATCCACGTCCACACTCATAGACTTTCAGACTTGTTTTCCTTTCGCTCTCACTCATGTTCCCAGGGCCCCACTTTCTCACACAAATCAATCTAGTGCTCAACTTCATCTCTCAGAACTTCATCATGCACAATAAACAACGATAAAAGAAATGACAAATAAACAAATTATAAATCCATGCTTGCTCGCTCGCTTTCTCTCTAACTAGCTAAAATTACACTCTTGGGATACAGGGCTACAACGCCTGCGCCGCGCACCTGCAACCTATCAGTAACACTCTCATTCACAATTAATTAACTAAAATCGGGTGATTGCTCCGTGACACGCCCGTCAAAAAATTACAAATTATCTAAACAGAGTGCAAGAAAATTATGTCATGATTTTCATTCCTTAAAATATTTGTTTATTCATCCCCTGTCGTGTAGGCATTAATTCTAACGATATTAAATCATTGATAGCTTTCTATACTGGTTGTGTTACACTTTGCCAATGCCTATCAGATTAAATAGTATTACATTAGTCTTAACAACATATTCTATGCCAAATTAATTTTGGAATAAAAGACTATCAATCAATGACATATGCTATAAACTGACCAACAGTTCTTCTATCTAATTTTCTAAAGGGTTTAGATAAGACTGCTTTATCAGAGGGGCTCTATAGAAATGATTGAGACAACTAGCCTTCCTACATTGAACTCATTAATAAAATTTTGACTGGAAATGAATGAATCTGCATTTTCTACCCTAAAACATTTTTAAAACCTATTAAATTCTCAATTATTTTTTTTATAGATATAACATCAGACAGGTATAAATATGCTATTTATATGGACAAATGGAACCTAATACTACATACAGAGGAGTTCGACCTAAGCAAGACAACTCTAATTGATTAGATGGGTAAAAAAGAAAACAGATAATCAAGAGTTACCTACAACGTATTGTTTATCAAAAGGTATTGACAAGGTGAAAAAGCGTTCGACTTGTGATCAGTTTACAGTGTACCCTATCAAAAAAGTTTATTATACATAAATATCAGATAAGTTTTAATCAAATTTATTTTAAAACTTATGCTATCGCAAACAAGACAATTTCTAATCCAACAGGCTCACCCACCTGCTTGATAGGAGATGCTCTATTAGTAAGCTCCTTACACTAAACTCATTAATTTCTCTCTAATTTGACATGAAATTTTCTGTTATCAAAATTTTTCTTGACCAGTGCTTGCTAATGACACTCATGGGAAAGTCGGCATATCTGTAACATACATTATATTTGTTATAGATTGCTGACAAGTATATATATGCTGAAAAGAGTACTTTCTTGATTAAACATTTTTAGTAAGGATAGCGCAATACTCTTACATTTTTGGGATGTGGAAAAGAATACTAGTAGTAAAAAGACAACTTTTTATAAAATTTCACTTAAATTAAAGGTCACAATGACTTTAAAATAGGTCGCGACACTCCTTCTACCTAAGATACACAAACTGGCCAAGTTTGATGATTCTAGGTCTAATAGTCTAAAAGTTTTCTAGTTATGGACAGGAGAAGATTTTTCCATATTTGGCTATAACTTTTTAACTAAGGATCAGAACGACCAAATTTTTGCATGCAACACAACTTCTACCCTAGATGTATCAGCTGTTAAAGTTTGATAACTCTAGGCCTAAGAGTATTATAGTTATGAGCCAGACACGAGAAAAGCTAACAGACAGAGAGACGGACAGATATACGGACGGACGGACACGAAGCCTAAAACATAATACGCCCCGTCGTAAGACGTGTGTATAAAACCCTCGTATCTATGAATGTTACTGTGAAGTAAGAACCTTTACAGAGAAATAACTAGACCATATCATCAAATTGTTACCAATTACAATTAAAGCAGTTACAGGAAAATGTCCCCTGTGTGGTAAATATAATTTTAGTTAGTGGTCACTGTGGAGTTTACATTTTGAAATATGTTAACGCTTTGTGCAATAAACAAGCATGTAACAGTCTTTCATAAAATGCAGTGTAGCTTCTGTTACATAAATAGTAGGCTGTTATTTGGACACATATAAAAGTAGTATCCATTCTTTTATGTACTCAAAGGTCAAGGTCATATCATGGATCATAGGTCAATTATTGTGAAGTCATCTATTGAATATTTTAAGGTTTTTTGCCTTTTATTAGCCCCCTACCGGTGAAACCGGAGGGGACTATAGGTTTCCACTGCGTCCGTCCGTCCGTCCGTCTGTCTGTCCCCGTCAGTCTGTCCCACTTGGTTTTCCGCACTTTTTTTCTAAACGCTTGCAGATATTAAGCTGAATTTTGGTGCGTGAGTGTATCTTAATGAGTAACAGATCAAGTATGAATTTCGTTTCGCTTCATTGATTTTTGACAGAATTATGTCATTTTGAATATTTTTCATTCCCACTTGGTTTTCCGCACTTTTTTTCTAAACGCTTGCAGATATTGAGCTGAATTTTGGTACATGAGTGTATCTAAATGAGTTACAGATCAAGTTTGAATTTCGTTTTGCTTCATTGATTTTTGACAGAATTATGGCATTTTGAATATTTTTCATAATCGCTTTATTAAGATCGAGTTCGAACTGCGCTAACTTCCGATTGTCGACAAAAATATGAAGCGAGGAAAAGACGATGGATAAATGAGTTGAATTGTCGTCTTAATGTTTATTATTTTATTAGATTTTAAGGCATTTACAACTTGAAAATCTTTCATTTAACCTTGGACATGACTTTTGCACATTATAAAATGACATCCTGAAGAGAAAGGGGAAGCCGGTAGGGGACATGTATTGCTTATGCAATACTCTCAGAATGCTTGTTATTTTAATCGCCGAAATATCTGAAACCACTTGTTCAATTTTCTTTAATTTTACACATTTTATTCTGAGACACATTTGAATCATTTTTTTTATTTTTTGTAAAAATTGCATGATACATTTTCTCTTAAGAAAACTGTCGGATATTTACATGTGAGTTTTCAATTCTGAGGCCATGTATGTTCTATTCTTACTCAAGATTTTACTCAAATTGTCCAGCACCAATATGACTTACTGATTCAAAGTAACAAAAAGGTTAACTTTATTATGAGTATACTGAAAGGAAAAAGAAAGGCAGAATAAACTTTTGAAGTGAAATAAATTTTATTGAATAAACTACATACATTAAAGATTGTATAATCAGAAATTAAGTTTGGATTGCATATTAACCTTAAAATATAAATTACCATAAATTTTGGAGAAATGCTCACCTGAAACTTTTGTTTTCCATATGCTGTATTCACCTAGTAAATGTTTCAAAAACTCTACAAAAGAGGAAAACATCGAAATAATAAAAAAATACAGACATTCCAATAGCTTTATACGTGTATTTATGAGTAAGTAAAACATAAGTACATGTACAAAATTTAATCTTGCTATTCATTTTATTATCAATCATGCACCGTGAAATTATCCCCTCTTTTAACGCCTTGTTTTCCTTTGGAGTCTTACTGTTGTGATGTAAATATTTAAGATTGATTGGAATATGGCCTGTACAAGTTTGTAACGTTGTCAAAATTTTCACACCTTGTTCTTGATTGTGCTCCATTTGCCACTTAGATACCCAGGTGCAGAGAACATTTTCATACAAATTATGCATTTTAACAAAAATAACAAACTTAATCAATTTTTGTGAAGCTGTTTTATTATAAGATAATAAAATTTATTTTATTATAACATAAACGTATTGAAAGAACATAATGCAACCAACTTTGTAATAAATTACGTTTGGTGATAAATACATGGAATGTGTACTGAATGGAGGTCAAAAACAAATTTTAAAATCGCAAGGGCATACCCTAGTTAAAATCAAAAATTTGTATTTTTGTCTTTTCTGGAAAGTGCTTCAGTTTTCAATTTATTAGCTAGATTAATATTTAATTGTTCTCAAGTCGAAATATGCTTGACCTTTACCAAGTATTTATGTCCTCATTAATAATCCTCTGGATTTAAAGAGAGTAGCAGCACTTTTCAAGTTAAGGAAAATATCTTTTAACTTTTTTTCAAAAAAATGGTCGAGATCTGTTAAGAGTATGCCCTTGCAAAAATGGCGATTTAATTTGACACCTCGATGTAAAACATGTCCAACTTATACACAAAAACACGATGTAATTAATTTAATACATTAAATAAAAAAAATACATTTCTACATTAAATATAAATAAAATCCCTCCCAACAAAAGGACCTCTTACCCCGTGGCCACAAATTTCACACCTTTGGGTAAAGCCACTCTTCTTCACAATAACTATGAACTAAATTTATCTGCATATATTTACATTCAGTGAATTTTTTCTCTATAAAATCCACGACGTTCAAATCTCTATAACACACGCAAAACCTTGTCACCGCGCGTTAGAATATACAGAATATACAGAATATAAAGGAAATGTATCCAGATTGCCTACAGCCTCTCAGAAAACGGTAATTAGTACGTTCATGGCCTCTTCTTCAAATTTTTATCAAATTTAATATAGGTATCCGGTTTATTTTCGTATGATTTGAAATTGAATGACACTAAATTACTCTATTTTCAACATAATTCTGCTAAAGCCGTAAAGTACGGTAAAAAAAGAATGTAGAAATTAATTATGACGTCATAATGGATCTAGCACCAAAAAAATAGTCTCAATATTTTTACTAGATCTTGACCTTAATTTAAAACTATTCAAAAACCTACCCCATGGATTTAAAGGATTTAAAATCTACAGTACTCCAGGAGGCTTCCATATAAGGTTCATCATTACTGGTCCAATGGTTCTTTAAAAGATTTTTAATGACACCATTTTCCCCCGATTATCCCTCCCTAGGAAGTGTTCATGGCACTTCATTATATGTATTCTAATTTTCTTTTGCCTTGGATGTTTTGTTCTAATTAATGTTTAACATGGGTCCAGAGGTTCTTGAAAAGAAGTTAAGAAATTTTCTTGTTTAATGAAATTTCTGTACGCCAATCCCCTTCTTTGTTTGGAAGCAAGTCCTCAGTCCTTTTGCTTTTACTGATCTATGGTATATACAGATATATCTCTATATCTCTCTTTCTCTGTATCTGTCAATATACTAGTATATGCAAAATATATAATATATCATTTGATCATATTTACCATAAATTTCATCTTCGTATGCCTTTCCTTCTGGTTCATTGTTGACATTGTTCTCTGTGTTACAAAGGCTTCTTTTTCCAGATTTACTATTGATATCATCGTGCTCTCTTTCCTCTGGTTCCCTATCAATGCTAATAGTTTGTAAACAAGAAACTGTTTCTTCTAGCTTACTATTAACACATGTTTCTGTGTCACCACTGGTTATATTCCCAGGTTTACTATTAACGCCAGCCTCTGCGACATCATGGATTTTTTCCTCTGATTTATTTTTAACGACATCCTCTGAGAGATCATTGGTTTTTTCCTCTTGTTTACTACTAATATCAGCTTCTATGGCATTATAAACTTTCTTTGGTACACTGGTCTTTGTGCAAACTTGCTTTCCCTCCTCTAGCTTGCCTGTTTCTGGTATCCTATCTCCTTCTGAAAAAAAATGAAATCTTCTCACATTTCATTTAAAAGTTGAGAAACTGTTTCGCTTTTAAATTGATTATCTAATAATATACTTTGGTAAAACTTAATTTATTCCGTGTAAATATGTTCTGGTTTTTTACTGTGTAGATATCTAATTTAATCAATTCACAACACATACGAGGGGTGATCAAAAAGTTCGCAAACTAGTTGAATAACTTCCATGAAAGAAACAACATTTGGTTTCAGTGTCGAAAATATTTTAAATTAGTCCTCTCCAATTATGCACTAAACACGTGATATAGACGGTAACGTTACCCTCTTTGTAGCTGTAGGTCACAAAAGCTGAATGATTTTTCTGAATTTTACTTTTCTTGGTCAATTCTCGACAACAGACAATATTATCCTTTCCAATTATAAGTATGGCAACCATCAAAGCCCAAATGTTCTGTCTTTGAAGAGACATTTATTCAAAGGGGATGGAAAATGGTGCCTCCTTTTTATCATATATAATATGTGTAAAATTTAAATTAAAAAATATATTAGGTTTTTAATAATTATACTATTGTTGAAGTATTCAATTGTTTTTTAAAAGTGTAAATTTGAGGTTTTTGTTAGCAAATTGTTTAATTAAAAACACATCCTCTTTCTGACTTGCTTTCACTTGGCAACATAAGTATCATTTTTAACCATCTGCCTCCCTTTACTAAAACGATCAACGCAATCATTAATTGATTTTATAGGAAGTCATTTGTCTTAATAAACTGTGTACAAATTATTATACTGTGTTTCAAAGGGATTTCTAAGATATAGGCTACCATAAATTTTACATATTTTGACGTCACAAACAAGGATCAAAACTTTATAAAGCATGTGCTATCTATAAAACTTGTGTATGGCTATGTGAGTACCATTTTTTTTCTAAACTGAATGGTGTTTTTTAGGTGTAGAGATAGATTGCGAACTTTTTGATCACCCCTTGTACACAGAATAATGTTTGAATTATTATACTTTGAATTTTTTGTACACTAACTATACACTACTGTATCATTTTAAATTTTATGCACAGCTATGATATGTGATACTTTTCTTTACCTCCACCTCCATTAGTTTTAGTTGGTAGCAATGGAGAACTACATGAAAATTCATGAACGCCATCAGTGTATTTCTCATTTATGTCACATTCAGAGTCACTTTCCCTTTTTCCTGCAAAAAAGTTTGTCTTTACAATAATAGTACAATCATCTTATTGAAAAGCCACATCGTTCTAGAAAAATTTTACGCTTAATTTATTAAAACATGTGTGAAGTGTAAATTTGCTTTTATTATAATGTCATTCTATGGCTATGCAATACGGTCAGGAGAGTATCAACGTACGCAAAGTAAATTTGGTTTTGAAATCCACCGTTTTAGTTATAAAACACAAAAAGAGGTTGTCCAAAAATTATATTATAAACTTTTTCAAATCTCATCTTTATTTTGTTCTGCAAAAAAATTAAAATAAGATACCTTTATTAAAAATACCGTCTACATTACATTTTAGAGTATGGCCTATCAGTAGCATTTCGTGAATGAGTCGCTAAAAATGAAAGAGACACTTAATATAATAAATATATTCGTTTTTTTTTACAATAAACAAAAATAAAAATTTAATGAATCGAAAATTTCAAATTAATGCAAACAATTTGTACCTGGCTCACTAAGGGGAACGTAACGTTCACGATTTTCGAAAAGGTGTGGAGTGGGTACAAGGTACATACTGGGGTTACGTTGGAGAGACATCCATTTGATTTGATCAATAAATCAAATAATGAACCTCTTTGAACTTGTTGAATATTGTACATCGAAGTTGGCTAATATACAATTTTGGACTCTTTTGGTGTTGAATATGGTTTGTTATTCACCAGCTTCCGCCTCGGTAAATATGGATATTTTTCTGGTGAATAACAAACCATATTCAACACCAAAAGAGTCCATAATTGTTTTATTATATAGTCGGGATTTGTATAGATAAGACATAGAAGGCTGTATGACGACACCATTTTCATTTTCGATCTTCCATTGTTGAAAATAAAAAAAATCTCAAGTTTACTGTTTGTAACCTCCGTGTTTTCCTTACCGAGTTTGGCTATGTGTAACACGTCCAGATGTTAAAAAATAATCCTGAAAAAGGTTTGAATAATCCTTTTCCTGCTCAGATACGTAGGTTGCTGCGGCCGTTGCAACCATTGTTTACAACGTTGTTTGATATTTTGATTGTGACTACACAATGCCGTTGCACACGAATTGACCCTCCGGTGAATACGGCCTAAAATCCGGTGAATATGTAGTGTTATGAACTGTTTGAGTTTGTATAGATTATATAGGGACTATAAATAGACTATATAATAAATTATCTTATTGACCCCCAAAAGCAACGGTTATTAATAAAAAAAAATGTTATTTCTTCATTACATTGTTAAATTCAAATAAAGCAATGCATACTTGAATTTGGCTCTTTAGTCTTATTTTTCTGCCTTTGTATTCTTCTCCACAGAAAAACACCTAGGACCAGGAGAACGATGAGGACAATCACTCCAGCACACAGTCCTCCTACTTTTGCACCAATATCGGCAGAGTCGTGCTCCTGGATTGTGGTTGTTTGATTATTTATTGTTGTTGTGTTATAAACACCAAGGTCTAAGTTTTGTGTTCTGTTTGAAACAAAAGATATTGGATCCCATGATGCTAACCTCATAGATACATATATAAATGCACTATTGCTGTATGCATTAATTTCCCTTACTTACGTTATTGAACAGGAAGGATCGGCAAGATAGCAGTGATCCTGTATGTTGATTTGTTGACACGCAGGATCTAAATAAGTAAAATATGAAGATTTAATATGTTTATACTGGGTAAATGTTATGTTGTTACCTAACTCAAATACAAATACAAGTTAAGTTATTACTGCTCTTACAATTGTAATTTTCATTGCTCCTGTAAGCATCATCTGGACAGCCTTCTATAAACCCTGAGCAGTCACGTGAAAACAGATTTCCCTCAGTTGTCTCCAAGCAATATCCTAAATACATATGACAGACTTTGTCAAAGATGGTAAGACTGTTTTGTGTGCGAAAATAAAATATAGACGTTATTTGTTTCCTTGGGTTATGATCTTTTGATGTATGAGAATTGTAAGTCGATTAATTTTTTTTACTCTTGAATTAATTACATAATAATAATTTTATAATATCATTACCCTTCAATTAATAAAAACTTTTTGTTGCTCACCTCTTTGAATTATTCCCATAATTCCATTATGACAGAATTCTACCAGATCAGTTTTCTCAATGTTAGGGAGACATATATACTGATTATTTCCATACTTGTCACGACCACAACCCAGTCTTGTAGATGCCTCTGTAGCTGCTGTGAGGTTTTTAGGACAAAAGTCGACAAAGCTTTCCATAGTTGCTCAGGAAATGAAGTCGATATGAAACCTAATTGTATAATTAAATATTATTGTAAAATATGCAAAAGTAGCATGAAATGAAAATTTAATTGATTTAAAGTGATAAAAAAGTGATAAAAAAAATTTAGATGATAAGTTAGGATTCCTTGTTTAAACAAAACCTTCTGGCCCAATGTCTCAAAACAGGAAACAAATAAACAAAATTTAAAAATTTCATTCATGTACATGTACATAAAAGATTAGTAAAAGCTATTTAAAAAGCGCTATTTCATATATAATTTATTCCCTTTGTTTTTAAAATGTTCTAAAGGAACTCAATGTATAATTAGGGGATATTGAACAATTTTGAATTTGAAACAGTTAAACATGAATCCATTTGCTAGATTAAGATGAAAATGAATCTAATTCGTGTGACGGCTAACGTCATGAAGCCGGTCAGTTGGCTCTGTAATCTTTTTTTAAAGAGTTAAAAAAAAAATTTAAAAAATAACTTTGTCAACATATCTTGTATACTGCTTCATTTTATTTAATATTTTCATTAAAAGAGAGGTTGTGTATATTTTCACAAGACCTTTCTAGATAGAATATTTCTGTTTTACATCACCCTCAAAATGATATCGTGATTAACTAAAGGACAATTAATTAATTACGTACAAAATATGATCGGCATACATGTACATTGAATACCTTTATCATTTGAGTTCCATATTAAATTTTGTATTTTAAATCATTTGTACTGAAATTAAATGATTGAATGAAACGTGGAGATAAGGAATAGTTAGCCAACATGTATACATCTTGAAAACTGTCATTTCTGGACTACAGCTTAACAGAACATATTTAAACAGACGTACGGAAGCGTTGGGTTTGAATCAAGCACATGCATGCACGAAAACAAAATTTAAAATATATTAACTTTTCTTATAAATATCGGTTAAAATTAAAATATTTCTCATAACTTTTTATGTGTTTGAAAACTTTAATCATTATTTTCTGAAACGTCAATGCTTATTCTAAGTATAACACCGATATATGTGTGTCGTCTAAAAACGTCCTTTATTTGATATGGAGAATTACATAAATTGAAAAAATGTATAGGATGAGTTCCACAAGAACGATCTCAAAATTGATTTTTTTTTTACTTTTAAAAACATATTTTTCACTGATATCACCATATATATTGTAAATGCATTATAGTTTAAATTCTTATGTAGAATTTCTTTTTAAAATTCTTTTTAAAAAATCATTACATCTTAGTGATATAGACTTTGTTCAGTACAATATCCAAAGAAGTATTAGTGTTTGATGCCTCAAGTTAGTATCTTGAGTATCAATAATTTAACCGACTTTTTGTGCATTGTTAAAAGATAGCTTTTAATTGTTATTTAACTGCAGTAAAAATTAAAACCATATAATATAAAAAATCAAAAAGGTTTTGGCAAAATCAAGTGGTAACAATTTTTACAATATCTATAGTCCAACACTTCATATTAAAACAAATATAAGATTTTTATTTGCCATTATCCCCTGAATTGTTCCCTGTTTAAGTAGAAAAGAAAGATAGCTAGTTAAGGTTTCGTCAAAGGTTAACATGTATAAAAAATCATTTTTTACAAAAGCTCCAAAACTATGTGTTGAATAAAGTCAAAACGTTTACAGTTTATAGATATATCACTGAATAATAGATAGAAAGTATCACGTGATAACAAATATTTAAAAAAAATATATTTTGGAGAAAAATTGTATCAGAAAATGCACATATTTCAAAAAAATGCACCTGCTTAATTCTGTCTTTTTGTGAAAACCATCATTGCAGAAATAATATATGTTTATCATTGAAGGGTAAGTTGGACGTGAATGTTCTCTGAGATGCTGTTATTTAAATCATGACATGTATAAAGACAAGACTCCTATAGAATCCGCCATTTGCAATGTACTTTCACTTTTAAGTCTTAACATTTGGAAAAAATAAACAGGGAAAACAATTTTCAAGAGACTATCCAAGTCCAACTTGCCCTTCATTGATAAACATATTACATTTGTTTATGCAATGATTGTTTTCTGTAAGTGAGTGAGTGACTAAGAGCACGGAATTAATTAGATGTATTTTTTTGAAGATATATGCATTTTTTAGAAGATTTTTTTTTTCAATTAATATTTTTTCCAAGTATTCTTTTCATCAAGTGATACTTTCTATCTGATAATAAATGAAAAATTTGATAAACTGTAAAAGTTTTAATTTAACTTTATACCTCATATAGTTTTGGGGCTATTGTAAAAATAAATCTTTTAACATGTTGACTTTTGACGAAACCTTAAAAATTATTTATCTAGAAAGTAGAATATATAGTATATTTTCTCTCAAGGGAGCAAAAATTATTCTATCCGTCAATTATTTCATCTTGTTTTATTTATACAGCAGATACTCCAACGAATTTGTTGTACTCCTGAATAAGAGCATGTCAGTCTTTAAAGCAGAATCTTAAAGCAAAAAGTACTCAGAACGTCTTGCTGTCTCAATAAAGTCAAAATGTAATTAATTTAATATGATGACAATTAAATGTTTTTTTTTTACCTTCATAAAACAAAAATAGAAGATAAAAATACATAAGAATTGATGAAATTAAATAAGAAAAGGATTTTGAAGATGAATGTAATAATGTCATTAATTAAAAACTAGACATATTTAATTATTAAAGAATATTATTGCATGAACATGTCTTGTTATCAAATATATCTTAAATATTTAAAATGTATTGTACTCCTGACCATACATAGGCGTTGGAACCGTTGGGGAGGGGGGGGGGGGTAATCCCCTCCCACACTTTTTGCAAATATATACATAGTATAGGCATAGAAAAATGGAGTTTAACTTCTTGTTAATTCGTCCCCCCCCCCTTCCACTTTCAATTAGCCCCCCCCCCTTTCAATTATGCATGGGACTTTAGGTCTGAAGCACAATCAGATCCTTGATAAAATGTTCTTTAATTGTGTTTATTTCCAAAATAAAATTCAGTAGGTCTGAAACACAATCAGATCCTTGATAAAATGTTCTTTAATTGTGTTTACTTCCAAAATAAAATTCAGAGGATCTAACACTGATAAAGATTTTCCAAGCTGAGGAGAAAACTTCACATGTTGAAATTGGATTTATTTATTTGTTATGTACTTAACTCCCATTAGTATATGATGTTTTTGCTTATGAATCAACAATATTGAAACAATAATTCAGGTCATTCAGATCAGAAAATTGAAAACGTACATCTACGTCACAAATCATTGTATTGTCAGTCTGTGTCCAGTGATTTGTGCAGAAAAAACACCCAGTAAATAGTAAATATATACAATTGTACAGAAATTTATGATTAATTTGACCTTATCAAGAATGTCCTTGTTATTGAAGTTTCTGTATGTTCTTGTTACTTTAACGTATATACATGTATTTAACTGATATTATTTTTTATTTAAAATCGTAAATAAAACAGCAATGCTACTTTGTCCATATATTTATTTTTTGTGAGATAAACACAAGTTATATTTAGTTCGCTATCAAATTTTCCCCATATCATGATTAGACATTATATTCATTTCTGAAAACGTAAGCAACGCTTCATTTACTTCAAACTATTTTTGATTTGAATTTAATGCTATTCTACGTGTTCTAGTTAATGAAAATCAAAACAAAAAATTGATATTTGGAGCAGAGGGGATACTTCACCTTAAAACGAAAATAGATTTTTTTAAATAAATGAAAAATGTCTTTCTTTCAGATAAATAATTCAGATCCGTGTAATATTTTACCTCTTGTAATATTTTCTCTACATCTCTGAAATCAGGTCCTTTAGTTAACCGTCATCTGAGAGATAATTAATGCTTCCTATATATTTCTATGGCGTCCCTCTAAGACCTTCACCTTTTCTTTAAATACCCAGGTATCTGTATATAGTGCACACGTATTTAAATGGTTTTTAAATTCTTTTTATCATGAGGATCCAAAAATAGAAGATCCGATAAACTGTGCTTTTATTCTCATTTGCTGAATATACAGTATATATATATATATAACAGTATGTCAGGGTTAAAGATATTTTTCCTAGATAAGTACCTGTAAATAGTTCAATACTATAGGTTTATAATATGTTACTTAATGGAAGCTGAGTCAGAGACATTTTTGTGAACATTTACAATGAATTATTGTTTAGTTATTAATCTTCCCATTTTGAAGTAAAGAGTATGATTGTTAACAATGGAATTAAGCTGTAAACAATAGGCCCATGGGCCACATTGCTCATCTGAGCACACTGGCTAGGACATAAAGCAGAGATCGCTTAAGAATTGAGAAGTTTACATGGGGGTCTGGAATTTTAAACTACCAACTACCTCATGATAGATTCAATAAATTAAATATATTCATTTGCAGGATTCAATTAACAGGCAACCAGTTAACAAGTTCTCAAATCAAATTAACTAATTCTGACTGGAAAGTTTTTTTTTTAAAATGGATTCTGCATATAGGGAATTCGATGAATTGACGAAGCATTTTAGGACCAATCACACTCGAATATCTCTTGTTTTTGGAAAATCTGTACCCATGTTC